CATGTGATCTATCTATCGATAATTGGTAATTGGGTGATTGAATCGAATGGACATTAGTGACGCTGGGGGTTTTTTTCCTCATAATAAAATTATCGTCTGTCTGTCACGAGTGTCCTGTACATTTTTACCAATCATTTCATTCATCTACTGAATTACAGATGCGTGTGACTAAAATATTTATAAAAAGCGTGATTTTTACAATGCAAGATAACTAAATACACGTATACGTATAGAATTAACGTAATATAATTAGACATATTATATATCGATATAACTTATATAGTATTTGAAAATTTTGTGCTTTATAAAATTACTAGAAAAAATTAACGTTAACTAGTATAAACCTGATTTCCGTAATGAATGCTATGATTTTTTAAAATGTCTAGCGCTAGCTAAGAAATTCATACAATAGCAAAACAAAGATAACTCGACAACCACCTGACCAAATTCAGTGAAAAATTTTTTATTTGAATTCTATGAAATTCATAAAATTAAATAAAAGTTATTCTCTAAATTTGGTCAGGTTTTCATGGAAAGTTTGGTACAGCTTATATTTTTATAGACAGTTAAACCTTTGATCGAATATTATACGTATAACTTAATCGCTGATAAAACTTTATGAAAAATTTTTTTATTCGAATTCCATGTTCATGGAATTTAAACAAAAAAATTTCATCGAATTATCTTCAATCAAAACTTAGAAATTGTATTAACATTTTTTTTTTTTTTTTTTTTATATATTTGATCGATTTTTACAACCACCTGATTAAATTCTTTTTGTTTAATTCTACGAAACTATAATATAAAAATTCAATAAAAAAATTTTCATTATAGTGAAATATCCAATTAAAGTTTTAAAAAACTCAAAAACATCTAAGCTATACTAAATTTTTAACCTGACCAAATTCCGAGAATAATTTTTATATGATTCTATGAATTCGAATACGTATAAAAAAATTTCATAGCTTAAGATTTACTAACATCTAACAAAACTAATACAGTAAATACTTTAATAACCCGAATTTTGTCAAAATCGCGTGATTACTTTTTGGCGGCGGGTGATCAATGTCAGAGTATACATTTGTTTAAAAAAATTATTCCAATATAATGATACAGTAAATATTTTACAGTTTTTATTATTATAATCTATAAACAACATAATTATTATTTTGCAAGTGACTACTCTTCCTCATCCCTTTTTCTCTTCCTATAATTAATTTCATTTTCTTCTTTACTTATTTCTTGTTGCTTTCTTATATCAATAATTTTAATTTTTGTATCTATTTTATCGACCAAATTAAAAAGATCGGCACTAGATAATGAATCTGAAACTATCCATCGAATTCCATCCTCATCTGTTAACAAAAAAATTCAGTATTATTATATATTATTAAAATAAATATATTATTTCAAATCAAGATTTTAAACACAAACCAACAATCTTTACAAATTTGAACATTTTAAGAAGTGCTGTAAAGTACTCATCATTGGCTAACGCGTCCCATTGTTCGGCATTTTCAGCCATAATAACTACAATAAACATAAAATATTGGCAATATGCTAATATAATAATTGCTCAATAATTGAAAAATAAATAAATATATATATATACCAAAACGATCCTCGAAATTATCCAGTATATTTATTGTAACGTTATTTTCACCATCTTCAATGACTCGATTCTCTTCAGCAAATTGACGTAAAACCTAGGTGAATAATTCACTTAATTACACTTTATTTCATAAAAAAAATATATGATATATAATTGAACTTGGTCATACATCTTGAAGCCATCTAATCAAGTGTAGTTTGTCTTCTTCAATAAGTAAACTTAAAAGGTTTTCAATCCACTGCTCAACTTTAAGTTCGAAAGGCCTAAACGGTACATATAATATAGAATTCATAAAAAAAAAACAGATTATATACGATTTTAATAAAATTACAGATACAAATTATAAACTGTCTTTAACTTACAGTTCCTCTTGTTTTTTGAATTCCAAATGTTCTAATTTCTATTCGTATTATTATGAAGTTTAAATAAATATGATTAATATATCAACTTAATATAATTAATATTACATTATGAAAGTTGACAAACTTCTGGTAGTAAGGCTTGATTATATGATTCATGTCCATTCTTTAGTGAAAATAAATCGGTTTTAGAAAATATAAGCTAAGAAATATTATGATATTAAAAGAGTTATTAATTTTCTTATATTAATCAAAATTGAAGAAGTGATGATTGGTTTTTTTTTTACTTCAATATATGATAATGGATTTTTTTCCATTCGTTCAGCAAAGTCTTCAACAATTTTATTTGCGAATTCTTTGAATTTAATTTGCGATTTATTCAAATTCAAATGGAAAGAATCGGTCAATTCCTTAAAATGTTCGAGAACGCGATTCAAGAGTTCCATAAATGACAACTAACAAAAATTTATAAATGTAAATGTACGAATCAATGAAATTGATTATATATAAATGTATTAACATACCTTTAAGAAAATTGAAGACTCACAGTAAGAAAAGATACGGTAAAACATTGTATTTATGTAATGAAAATCCAAATCGATTGTTTCGTACTCTTTATCCAGTAGTGCACAATAAGTTGATAGGACCTCTTCATTAACAAAGCACTGTGTTATTGCACCGATGTTAATATGAAATTTAATGTAATCCAATTGTTAGACTTTAATATACTATAAAATCTAATTCATTACCATCTCGTATTTTTCAAATGCTTTTGCTCGATATCTTTGCTCACAAGAATCAATTTTATCCACTCTATACTCATATTCATCTTTAATATATTTTATGTTTTTACTATGTTTATTTGCTTTATAAATATCAATCATGTTAGAATTGTAATTAACGTTAAAATGTGGAAATTCTCATGAATCTCAAACATTTTTACCTCGGCGCTTTTGTTTAACGTAGATATACTTTCTTGATTTAACTCGTTCGAGCGTAGATAGAAGCCGGTGTACCGTTTCAACCAAACTTCGAAGAAAACTTTTTTGAAATAATCAACATCATAAGATAATTTAGAATAATACTTATTAAAGCATGTGATTAACATGTATTTAAAGCTAAATGAAATAATTAATTAATTTGTACAAAAGAAAATTTTAAATACCTCACGGGTTGTTTTGAAGAACTTTTAACAACATCGACAATCAATTCCAAATTTTTTTTGTCGTTCAAAATTCGATGTTGTAACTGTTGGGCCTTATTACGAGATTCATGGTCCTCATTCGTACTCTTTGAACCTACCGTATCAAGGGTTTTTGACTAAAAATTTTTTAGTACATATATTATGATATTTAATTATTATGAAGAAACTTTGCAAAAGTACCAAAAATTACCATTTGGTTCAAGCATTCTAGCCCGATTTTAAGTTCTAACCATGACTACAATAAAGAAAACGAGCCAATATTTTAGTATTAAAAATATATAAAAACAGGTGTAAATTATTTCCCACCTTTTGCTCTTTGAAGTGTCTAATATTATTAAATATTAATTTAAAAATTTTGGAATTTAAGATATTTGACCAATTTGGCATCGAAACAATATTTGAATCTTTAAGGTTTAAAAGTTGATAAAGTTCAAGAAAAAATCGTATGACATAAAAAAGGTGAACCGAATGTTGATAATTATTATGATGATCCAATGTCAGATTTTTTCCAACGGAGTTTACAAGAGCTTAGGGAGAAATTCAACAACAATAAGTTTTAATAACAATAAGTTTTAATGTAACTGTCATAATATAAGATAGAATAACATAATAAAATTATAAATACTTGTGAATGTGGTGTTTAAAAATTTAATTGCAGTAACCTTTAAACAATTACGTATAGTGTCGTTAATATCAAGTACAGGTTTTTTCTTAGGCAGCCATTCCTCCTAAAATCATGCACTTACATTAACATATTTTGATTGATACAAAGCAAACAATCTTTAATATATATTACTTACTCGAATAGCACGTTTATTCTCCTTGTCTTCTGATTTGTAAGGAAGTTTATCGGCACGCGCGTCTTTTTTGGAGGTAAGAACTTCATAACCATCCTTAAATTTAAAAATAATTATGAATTGAATTATATATAAATATTATTTACACATTAAAATTAAAAATTATAATCGAAAAATAGTATACATACAGGCATCTTCACCCAATATTTCCCGCTAAAGCGTTCACTACAACGGCGACGATTTTCTTTTTTCTTTTCCTCATCCTCTAACAGTTTTTTAGAAAATTCGTTGGCTTCCTATTAAATAATAATAAATTTAATGAGCATCAAAAAAAAAAAAAAAATCGTATAGGTCATAAATAAAATATGAATTCACATACAGCAGTAGGATTCTCTAAAAT